AATATTGAAAAGAATAAAGGTTAGTTTTTAAGCGATTTTTGTAATTCATTTTTCAAAATGAGTGTTTTTACGTACTTAATAATATAATGGTACTTTTGGAAAAAGTTGGTCAAATTTTCTTTGAAAGTTATAGTTAAAAAACTTCAAAACTTCAAAATCAAGTCTTTAAGTTTAAAATCCCAAAAAACTTTTTATTTTATTGTTAATAAAAACAAATCCTGACTGATGGGAATACGTAAACTCGGCTTCAAAAGGTCATAACTTTGAAACAAGTCCGATTTACAAATATTCTGATTGCACCATAWGGCACCAATATTGTTCTTAACTCATTAAAATTCATAATAGCTAGGTTTCCGAAAAAATTCACTTGGATGCTTGGAAGCTAAACTGAATTTATGCTACAAAATAATATCAAGTCTTATCTTACATTTTATTAAATAACTTTTTTTGGAAAATAAGAGGACAAATATGTTGCCCTTGAGGCCTGAGTGCAAAATAAAACTATGGGACATGGATTACATGGGGAGGAACGTTTACAAGTGTGAAAACCCTTTAAATAGGAGCCAATAATCTATTAGGTAACAAAATATTTTGACCTATAGGTGATAGATTAATATTAAAATTATAAAGTAAATATATTTATGAGTAAAGTAGGTACATACACCATATGGCGTGGTGTTAACAATGGTTTTTTCGCAATAGCTCAATTCTTATTCTTATACCTACTTATCAATAATTTTTCACATATATTTTTATTTGTTCATACTCTTTTACCATACTAAAATATAATTTTGTGTAATCAATATAAATAATATAATTACAAAATATGCAAAAMATATGTACACATTTAAATTATAAAAAAAATCTATTCACCTAATATTATGAAACATGTTTTGTACGTCGTAGATTACTCGCACATCGTTCCGTAAATTAACTTTCGTGGTAAATATGAAAAACTAGAAGTGAAGAAATCCTAAGACTTAACCCTATACTTATTTACTTAATAGTGTAAAYCTAACCTAACAGTTAATTTTATTTCATATTGTAGCAATAAGGATGACGTACGAATGTACGATAATATAGTTTATTGTACGAATATTAAAATATTATGCAACAATTTATACACGTTTATTGCTTATGAATATTATAATATGATTTAATACGATATATCATATATGTATATTGTACATAAAATTGTTTGTAGAAAAATTCAAAAACCATTAAGCATGAGCAACACGGACGAATGATTATATAACCAGACATTTRTCAAAGACCGTGGTGGTGGTGGTATTATATTATTTATTACATTATTAATATGTTATCCGAATTATGCATAGTATTATTATTTATTATTGTCACGTCAATTGAAAATCACCACGTAAAAGTATACGGTAGGTACTATATTACAACGTAATAATTAATATTTTAGAGTTACACCTGTAAACTGTTCACTAGGTATTATATTATATTATTATATTATATATATTATATATTTATATATCCTTATATAACCTTTCAATCTCAATTTAATGTAATTTCTGTTTTAAGTTTTATATTTTATTATATCGTTAAATTTTTTGTTTTTGTTTTTCTCATCATTAAAAGTAAGTAGGTATATTTGCTGTAACGTTGATTTGTCAAACCATACGAATAAATAAATAAATATAGAGTTACGCTGCAACGTTTATCACTAAGGATGTTTCTTTGTTTTGATGGACGCGATGAGTCTCAAAGAGAAAAAAAATAATAATTATAATATAATAATATAATACAGGGGTTTTTTGGCGTATAGTGAGACACTGAGACACATTTTATGTAGTAAAAATAGTTACTTTGTGCAGTGCAAAATAAGAATATCAGAATGATAATTATTGTATTTAATAAAATAATAATTAAGTGAAACGGGTATAAGACTTGCTGTAGTCCACCTCAATGTAACTAAAAAATTCAAACTTAAAATTTAAGTAGAGTTTATACAGACGTATACTTAGCATTATATAAAGGAACCCAATTAGCTCCATAAATCAATTATACAAAWATATATATGTATATATTCACTYRATGCCTTGATTAATCTATAGTCTAAAATAATAACTGAGCCATTGCCCATTGGCTCTAAAAATTAGTAACCTTCTTTCCTCATTTAACAAAGGCATTAGATTCATTTGGACCTTAGTAAAAGGAAATTAAGCAGATAAAGCAGCAAGAAACGCATTAAAATATAGTCCCACCGGACCCACCGTGAAATAATTACTTTTTCATCACTTGTTGACATAAAAAGAAATATAAAAAAATATTGCATTGATTTGTGGAACRTCAAATGGCACACTACCACGGAAAATAATTTAAGAGAAATTAAGTAGGTACTCTGTTGAACTCTGGTCTAAATATACACTGACCTTGACCTAAACAGAAAAAAAGAGGTAATACTTAATCGACTTTAGAATATGTCATAGAAAATTCACACATGGACACCTTATGGGAAAGACAGATCTCCACCCCTATGCCCAACATGCAATGAAAACTACTCCATCAAACACATCATCATCCACTGCCCAAACTTCAATGAAGCTAGGAAAGACTTCAACATCCCTGACAACTTTTACGAAGCAATTGGTCTATTTTCTAACAATTAAAACATAATTTTATATTTAAAAAAAATTGAACTGTGCAATAACATGTAATAATGCAAAAATGTAATACTTTTGTTAAAGCTAATAACCTATGTAGTTGATGCTTAACCAATAAAAATAATAATAATAATAATTGC